CAAAATATAAAGAAATCACATTATCACGCTTCAATTCAATCACGAATAACTTTTTCTTCTGGAGAATGCTCACCAAAATGCTTTTGTACACTTGTAAACAACATAATGAGCTGTCACTGGAATAATTTTAACAGCTGTCGGACGAGTGGCTTAGAAATGACAGCAGTCTGAAGTTGGTTGCAGTTTTTTTATCTCATCCTGTACTAGGTCTAGGACCATTACTGCGAGGGGATTCAAACTATTTGAACCAACCTAACTTATACTCAACACATTGTGAAGTAGTGTATAAAAATTACCTTATTCCCACTAGTAAAGGCTGTTTCACACTCACCACGGAGTCACTGTTCAGATCCAATTGTAACACAGCGAGCAAATCTGAACAAGAAGAAAATCCCGTTTTTGTGAAAATTTGCACCATGTTGATGTTGAAATGACACGGGAAAAACACACAAACACACAGCTTTATATGCGATAACCATTTGTGAAAAAACGAGCGCCTCAATAGAAAGAAGCAACAGCATCACTTTGCATTGTAGCAACATGTTTTGCGTCATTCCATAAGCTTAACGAGATGTGGCAAATATGGAAAGAAGCTGAAGAAGAAAAAAGAAGCAGCAGCAGCAGCAAGGGTTGAATGGTGTTTTCCATAGTGAAATGAAAGTGGCATTACACAGCAACAGGAATATGAACAAGCAAAACTAACAAAGCATTTATGCCCGATACACAACACAGCACACTCTGGGAAAAAAGGCAGCTAACAACAACAACACCACCACCACCCCATACATAACTCTTAATGGCAGCGGCATAAACGCGACAGCACAGTGACTCTTAACAAGGCAATGGCAGGCAGTCAGCGTGTTTCAGCTGGCTAGCTAGCTTCGTTGGCACCAAAAACAAAATGACAAAACAAGCTTAAGAAATTTGCGAGTTGACAAAAACAATGAAAGGATTTCATTGATGTCGTTGCTTGTTGCTCTTCGTGCTGCTGCTATTTTGGCATCAACATCATGTTCTCGAAAGCAAACACCAAGCAGGCTTTTGCCTTGCCGTTTTCCTCTCAACCCTTTTAGACAACAATAAACGCTGGATGGCTGGAAAGCAACAAGAGTTATATTTATGGGAAAATCTGTTGTCTATGTAAATGAAGTTGGGTGTTTTTTATTGTTGCTACTGGTGTTGTTGTTGTTGAAATCCTTTTTATGTTGGTGTTGATGTTGTTGGCAAGTGTCGATGCAAATCTAAAGAACCAAAAATGGCTAAAATGATGGCGACAAAAAAAAAGTTAAGGCAAGAAAAAAAGTTTTTGCAAGGAAATTTGTTCTAGTCACAAGAACAGGGAAACATGTTGTACTCGTACTGTGTTGTGTCAGGCTTTGACAAAAACCCAACAAGCAACAACAATGCCTATTATATTAAAATAATACCCTAGAACTTTTACATTTCCTCAACTAACTAACACTTATATTAATGCTCACTTCCATTGAGCGGCATGTGGAGAGTAATAATTGTCCTTTTTTTTGGAAAGGAAAAAGAAATGAGGGCACTTTTGGAAGCAAAAAAAGGTGGGAAAGAAAAAATGAAAATGGAGTTGTGTTAAATCACTGCATGGTGTTTTAAGCAAGAATGGCAATAATTATACATAGAATATGTAGTGTATGAAGCTCATAATCTGAAAAATTATATTGCAATATTTAAAACTGAAGTCCAATATAACTTTGCCTAAAGACAATGTTTTTTTAGTATTCGTGGGTTTTGTAAAATATTTTGAAAAAAAAAAAAAACAAGTAAAAGAGCTGTAAGTTCGGCCAGGCTGAATTTTGAATACCATCTACCATTTGGAACGAATTTGGCAATAATAAACAAACGTTGTTTTTATAAAATCAACAATAAAGGAATTAAGCCTGACGATTTTGCAACAACAAAATACTATGGTATCCCGAACAAACAAGCCAACATTGTTCAATTTTTAAAAAAAATAAAATCCGTTAAAAATTTTGTTAAAAGCTTAAAAATACCGAATGAAATCAATCAATGAAATCGAAGCACTTAGAAATGGTTTGCTAAAGGGTTAAAATATGTAGAAGTTAGGTCAAAGCTTCTGATTTTTGCTCTGACTCCAACTCTATTATTTCATCTTTTTGTACTTCAATCCCGGAATTCACTCTGTCGACTAATTTCTGAACTCAATATTGCAAAACTATTACCAATTAAACCCATTTGTCTCTATATCCAAATCTGAACATATCTCTATAACATTTAGCGTTCATATATCGTTGTTGTGGAGAGAATTTCACGGGTGTGAGGTACAAATACAAAATCGGACGACTCATATATATGGGACCTATAGCTATATCTTAACCGATTTTCACCAACTTTGATACGCTTGCTTTCCAGGCTGAACCCGTTCATATGTGTCCATTCAATTTGGGCTTATATTAACCATTTGGTGCACAATAATCTTGAAATTGAGTAAAGATATATATGGGAGCTACATCCCAATCTGAACCGATCTCGATAAAATTTGCCAACAGTATAGATTTGACATATCGCCCTGAATATGGTTGTTGCAGAGTGCATATTACGGCTACGGAGGACAAAAATAACTCATCGGATGAACAATATATATGGGAGCTATAGCTATATTTGAACCGATTTCGATAAAATTATGGCATACTTATTTCCAGTCTCAATTGGGCCATACAGGGTGAAATGAAAAAAGTGCAAACAACTTCAGACTGCTGTCATTTCTAAGCCACTCGTCCGACAGCTGTTAAAATTATTCAAGTGACAGCTCATTATATTTTTTACAAGCGTACAAAAGCATTTTGGTGGGAATTTTCCGGAAAAATGTTATTCGTGATGGAATTCAAGCGTGACATTGTGATTTCTTTATATTTTGGCTGGAAAACTACAAGTAGCTACCGTTAGAGCACTCCAGCATTTAAATGTGGATAAATCTTCTGTGTCTCGTACCATCGGTCGTTACCGTGATACTGGTAGCGTAGCCATACGTCAAAGAAGGAAACGGAAGAAAACAGAAACATCAGCAGAAATGGTTCGAAAAGTAAAGAAGCGAAGCCCGCGTCACAGTGGCCGAAAAATGGCTCGTGAGCTGAACATATCGCAATATTCCATTCGGCAAATATTGAAAAATAAGATCGGGGTAAAACCATTGAAATTCCAAAAAGTGCAAAAACCGCAACAGAAAAAAATAGACTCAAAAGAGCTAAAGAGTTGCTTCGCTTGGCCGAAAGTGGTGAACTGCCGAATTTGGGTTTCTCCGATGAAAAAAAAAAAAAAAAATTCGTTGTCCAGCAGTTTGTAAAACAAAATGATTGTGTTTACTTGCCAAAGAGGTCCGCTGATAATGTGCACCTTCGGTTGGCCACCAGAACTCAAGCGCCGGCCATGGTGATGGTGTAGGCCGCCATAACAGCCGATGGTCGCTCTCCGCTTGTATTGATCGACCGTGGCATCAGAATAAATGCCGAATATTATCGCGAAAATATTCTGGAGGGTGTATTAAAGCCTTGGACAGGCAAACATTTTGACCGCAGACCTTGGACGTTCCACAGGACTCAGCACTCGCCAACCAAGAATGGTTACAAAATGAGGTTCCTCGCTTCATTTTCAGCGCACAATGGCTTCCAGCGTTTGACGGTTTTATTGACCGTTTGAAGGCCATAATTCGGGCCAAAGGTGACCAATTCGAACATATCTAAACTTATTCTAAAATTTGATGCTATTTCCGACAAATTTTGCTTTCATTCAATAAAATTTAAAAAAACAATAAAAATGATGGCGTTTAACTTTGTTGCAGTTTTTTATCTCACCCTGTATATATAGTCAAATGGGGATCGGGACACCGGTGAAAGCTTTCTAACTTGTTTAAAGAAAAATCTAATTACAGCAGAAAAGACTAAGAACTTTAAATAAAATTGAGGGAACCGTTAATGGCCTTAAATCTCTTAATGTGAACTGATAAAGCTCAATTTCGAACATAACCTACCCGAGACCTATTAAAATTTCGTGGAGCTGTCATGAAGTCATGAAAACTTGCACACTTTTTATTTCCCTGAAATTTCTGTTTTGTTTTAATCTCTTTCTTTCTCAAAGATTCTATTCCTTAGATACCAATTAGAATACTTTAAATTAAATTTCAAAAAATATTGCAAAATGAATAACAATATTTATCCGGCCAGACCGAGAGCCTTGTTCATCAAGTTAAAACTTGTTAGTAGGCCAAATTTCCTGTTTGTAAATACAAAACTAACTCGAACTACGGAGAAACAACACGGAAACGAGAAAAGAAGGAGTGGATCCGTTATATTTTGTTATCGCAAAAAGACACAGCAGAAAAAAAAACAGAAACACGCACAAACAAATGTTGGAAAACATGTGTTGCCTTGCCGGCATCAGTGTGGGTGCTTGTGTGTGTTTGTGTGTGCGTTCCGGTATTAGAGTTGAGATACACGAAACATGTTTATTGGTGTGTTGTCGTGGTGCCGTTCATGCTCGTGGCCAATGTTCTGTGAAATGTGAAACGATGACGAAAGCGAGTGCATCTACAGGATACACAACCTCCCTCCCAACACACACTGTCACACGTATACATTACCGAATACCGGCGCCAAAATATACAACAAACTGTTAACATTGTTGTAGCATGTTAAACTTGTTGTTGCTGCTGCTGCTGCAGATGCCGCTTCTGTTGTGAAGTTGTTGACATTTTGGCCGCAAGCATTAATAGTTATTTTTGCAGCTGTAAGGATAAAAATGTTATCCTGCAGGGGGGGTGCTCTGTTAATACGAATGTTAAAATCATGTTGCCATTGCGGCTTTCGTGAAAATCGAAATGTTAAATTACCGTATAAGTACGAATGTTGCAATCGGTTCTAAACAGAGTCTTGCTGTTGCCAGCGAATGGTAAACATTACGTTCGGATAACGCACGCAACTGAGATAGCGGTTGGTGAAATTTAAAGTGTGACGCCAAAGCCCATGCGAAAAAAAAAATTTGACAAAGGATACGGAAATGATAATTCGACACGACAATAATATTTGTGATTAAAGGAAATTCGATTATACGAGGCCAGGCAATTGCTTTTTAATTTGGGAAAAATTGGCAATTAAATAAGAAAAGTGTTTTTCCAAAGAAGTTATACGAAGTAATAAAGCAAAGGCAATTTTTAAAGAGCAGCAAATTTGGGAAAGTGTTTGAAATTGAATTACAAAGTTTTTCGTAACTAAATTTATGTTTGAGTGAGTTTGCTTTGAAGCCAAGAGGCTTGTCTTGTGATTTTCAAAGGCCGAGACAATAACGAAAAAGGCTTCCATCATCGGAGTTTGTACAAAAATGGCATCGAGTTAAATACCATTACCGGAGGTAACAGCTGCTGCGAATATAAAAATGGCCATTGTTTTGGTTCCATGGTGCGTATGAATGTTATTAATTTGTTACTTATTGCCGAAATTGTAAACGGCTAAGCCGTCATGGCATTATGGAAAAAGTTTTCGAGAACATTGTTATATTTGAACAATGGATGGAGTCGCGGGAGTCACTAACCCTCTCCATTGTTTAAACAGAGATTGCTGAGAGTGAGTGAGTAGCTGAGTGTTTAACTCCATTGATGGTATTGGCGAATCCCATTATCTCTGTGTGCGAATTTGTGTGTTTATGAAATTCCAATTAAAGAAAACCAAAGGTATTTACGTCGATTATCCTCCATTGGATGCTAATAATATTTGAAGAGGAACAAATCGGTTTATGTTTATTTAACCTTTTATTTAGTAGGATGAAATGAAGTATATTCTTGGAAAAAAATCCTTTGTGAAAAAATTGATAGATAATTGGAAGAAAAAATCTTGTTTGTGTTGTAAATTCTGGAATATTATGTTTATGAAGAAAATATTCAAGAGAGAAATACAAGAATTCATGTTATTTTTACTATGAAGGAAAAACGATTTTATATCAGTGAAGTAAAATCTCCTGAGAAAATGTTTATCATTTTTTTTTGTTTTTAAATAAAGTACTTACAGAAGTTTTCCCCTTTTGCAAATAATATTGTGTTAACTTACCTGAAAAGGGAAAGCAAAGAGAAATATATTAAACAAATACTATTAAATAAATCAAGAAAAATTACTTGAATATGAAAGGATTTAGGTTCGGAGTGCAAGAGTCTTGATTTTGAGGAATGCGACTTTTTATACCCTCCACCTTGGAATGGAGGGTATATTAACTTTGTCATTCCGTTTGTAACATACCTAAATATTCGACGTAGACCCCATAAAGTACATATATTAATAATCACCATAAAATTCTTAATCGATTTAATGATGTCCGTCTGTCTGATACAGCCCACATTATTGGACGCAGACCTTCAAAATTCGGCAAAACAATTTGTATTGTGTCTAGTATGGTTGGTATTGAAAATGAGATATATCGGTTCACGTTTTGGTATAGCCGTCATATAACGGTACCTCTTATAATCGGTATTTTGATTGTCTAAAAATTGGTACATGTAGGTCATAATGGGTTCTTGTTTCACAGGCGGAACATTGCATGTATAGGTCCACGATTTCGTATATCCCACATATAACGGTACTTCCCAATAGTCGGTATTTTGACTACCTAAAAATCTACGAAAAATTGTATGTATAGGTCCACATTTTCGTATAGCCCCCATACAACGGTACCTCCCGATATTCGGCATTTTGCTGATTTTTGCAACTTTTTTTTCGCGGATTTGTCTAAAAATTGGAATTTGTAGGTCATAATGGGTTCTAGCTTGTGTGGTGAAACATTTTATGTATAGGTCCACGTTTTGGTATAGCCGCCATATAACGGTATCTCCCGATATTCGGTATTTTCATGATTTTCGTCATATGTTTTCCACGGATTTGTCTAAAAATTGGTATATGTAGGTCATAATGGGTTCTAGCTCGTGTAGCGAAACATTTTATGTATAGGTCCGCGTTTTGGTATAGCCCCAATACAACGGTACCTCCCTATATGCGGAATTTTTATGATATTTGCCACATTTTTTCGCGGATTTGTCTAAAAATTGGAATTTGTTGCTTATGATCGATTCTAGCTCCGGTGGCAAAACATTGTATGTATAGGTTTCACATTTTCCTAAAGCGCACATATAACTATACCAAGGCTAGGCAAAGAGTATCCCTTGGGATATCTGTGTGTTCACCAACACAACTGTAAAAAATAAATTATTTTGAATTTTCTGTCAAATTGGTTTTGGGAGAATATTTAGTTTTATTCGAGCAGTCGATGAGGAAGGTGCTGTCGGATATTTTAATGAATACACCGTAAGAAATATTGGAGCACATAAATATATCTTACTACATATTTTAAACAAATAGGTATTTGCGAAATTGTAAAAATTACGACTGTTAGGATTTATTTTTTTTTGATTAATTTCTGTTTGACAGAATTTGTATAGGGATTCACATTTTAGTAGTAGGAGTTCATTTCATATTGACCGAAAAATTAATTTTCCTTCTAAATTAGTAGACATTTTAATATCCCCCGATTTCTATGAAATGACATGCACAGTCTTATGATGTGATGTTTATCATTCTGTTTGTAATTTACAGAAATAATCTTTTATGACAGAATATGAGTTTTTGATCAGAGTAAAATTCTAGGACTATTTGCGTATGTCTTTATATCAGCATGTAGAAATCGGTATTACTTTTTAAAGGGTCAACTTGGATGGTTAGCATGTTATGTCCGAAATTATTAAACAATTATTTAAAATTTCTGAAAATATCAACTTATATATTTTTGGAGGACATTTATATCATCTTTTTTTTTAAATTATTGTGTAAATATAGCTCCAAATTTCTGCCAACGAATTCCGATTACAAATTGACGTTAAAAACAAAGCAAACTTAAACAACAAATTATAAATATTGGAGAGAACATTTATGACTGAAAACTTACGGATAATAAATTATTTCTCACTGTGTAAAAACAGGCAAAAAAACACTTGCAATATTTTGTCATTTCAATACACATACAATCACAAAAAAATTTTGAGGCTCTCTGCCTAGCCCAGAACTATACCAACGAATATTGAGATGCACAATGTTTAAAGAAAATCTCAGACTTTTTTCGGATATATAAAGGTTACAATTATTGTTGGTAGAAATATTGGGATGTGCGAAATTTTCAAAAGAATCGCGTGCTTATGGGACTCTTATATCAATTTTATAAGAGTTAAGATTATACAAAATGTTGACCCTTTGTGGGGAGTGAAGGAGTAACCGATATATTCCATCTCCACATTAGATCCTGTGTTGGCGGAACTATTCAGATGCGAGGTACTAATAGGAGTGAATCAACATCTACCATTTTCACACCAGACAGTGTTTCAGGTTATTTGGACTGATATTGGCTATTTGGTGCAAAATTAACCCGAAATCGGTTGAGGAGATATGTGGGAGCTATATCCAAATCTGAAGCGATGTTGACAAAATTTAATTCACTTATTTCTGAGCTGTATCTGATATCTGCTTGTGAGGGACTTTAAACTAAATGGGAGCTATAGCCGATTTTCCCCAAATTTGATTTACTTGCTTCTAGACTAAATTCGGTGAGATGTACCAAAATATAGGTCATTTCAACTTATATTAGCCATTTGGTGGACATATAACCCGAAATAGGTTGAAGATATATGGGAGCTATATCTAAATCTGATCCGATTATCACCAATTTCAATGGGGTTCGTCCTTGGGCAAAACAAATATTGTTTGCAAAATTTCATCTCAATCGGATAATAAATGCGCCCTGTATTTTGTTCACAAGAATGCATGGACGGACAGACAGACGGACTGATATGCATAAATCGGCTCAGAAAGTGATTGTATGAAGTTCCTCAAAAGTAACTATGAGTCTATCTCGCTTCCTTCTCCATGTTACAAACAAATGCACAAAGATATAATTACCAGTATAATTACCAGTATGTGGTGGTGAGAAAGGTCAACGTCAGTCCAGCGGTTCTTGATTTATAAGCAGAATAACTAATATAAATTTCTTTTACATATAGATTGTGCTTATTGTGCTATATATCCGATATTTTGGCTATCAGCATCACTGTAATGGTCAGAAGTGACATTTTAATGTATTTATGATTTCGCTGGGAATATTCGGGGTTTAAAGGAAATTTTCGTATTTCTTATATAAAAGTTATGGTCTATTTAACCCACTAAACATTGTCCTATGATCATCCAAATTGGTAGGCTCCAGCCCAGCCCCCAACTCTAAAGGTGAGAGTATATAAGCAGCTTGAAGTTTTCGCATGACATATTTTGTGATATATCATAAAGGGATGCCAGAATCATGTCACTGTTTCCCCTTATAATATGACATTAATAGCCTTGACAATCTAGCCATTATTTCATGCTGCTTATGTACGCTCACCTTAATTGCATGCAAAATTCCCTCGATTGATCTATCTGCCTGCAAAATCGTGAAAATTTTCTTTTGGTTATGAAATAACAACAAGTTCTCGGATATACAGGATAACAGTACGTTTACATATAAAAGGGTTAACCCACTGAATTTGGATTAAAATTGTCATATCCATTACTTATACTTCAAATAAATCCTCTTAAAGTAGGTTAACCCTACAAAATGTTCTAACGCAAACATGGCATAAGATTAAAAAAACTGCAACAAACTTCAGACTGCTGTCATTTCTAAGCCACTCGTCCGACAGCTGTTAAAATAATTCTAGTGACAGCTCATTATATTGTTTACAAGGGTACATTAGCACTTTGGTCAGAATTTTCTAGAAAAAAGTTATTCGTGATGGAATTCAATCGAGATAGTGTGATTTCTTTATATTTGCCTGGAAAACCACAAGTGGTTATCGTTAGAGCATTCCAGCATTTAAATGTACCCTGATGTCAAGGAAGTGGACGGAAGAAAACAGCAATATCATCAGAAATGGTTCGAAAATTAAAGAAGCGACTTGATCGAAACCCGAGTCGCAGTGGTCGAAAAATGGCTCGTGAGCTGAACATGTCGCAATATTCCATTCGGCAAATATTGAAAAATGAGCTCGGGGTTAAGTCATTGAAATTCCAAAAAGTGCAAGAACTTACACCGCAACAGAAGAAAATGTAAACAAAAAATAGAAAATAGACTCAGAACTCAAGCGCCGGCCATGGTGATGGTGTGGGTCGCCATAACAGCCGATGGTCGCTCTCCGCTCGTATTAATCGACCATTGCATATAATATTCTGGATTTTATATTAAAGTCTCGGGCACGCAAACATTTTGGCCGCAGACTTTGGACATTCCAACAGGACTCATCCGTTTGAAGACCATAATTCGTACCAAACGAACAAATCTAAACTTATTCTAAAATGTGATGCTTTCCGACATTTTTTGCTTTCATTCAATAAAATTA